CAAGTAACTACATTTATGTAACTAATTTCAAGTAACTACATTCATGTAACTAATTGCAAGTAACTACATTCATGTAACTAATTTCAAGTAACTACATTTATGTAACTAATTTCAAGTAACTACATTCATGTAACTAATTTCAAGTAACTACATTCATGTAACTAATTTCAAGTAACTACATTAATTCTTTCTCTTCCGAAACGTTCTCTCGATATTAACAAACTGGCCATATAACGAAGATGTTTTTACAGAAATCTAACGATACAAAACTTGTACACTTCACATTTCAGGTACTCAGTTTTTAAACACGTTTTTTTAACATTAAGACGCACCGAGTTCTGATTTTGTTGATAGCTGTTTTGAGAAGTATCGGAACTAATACCTACTTACCTGATCACAGCTGGACCACTTCCAAGATCAAATCGAAACTCAACAAATCCATCGACCAAGCTAATGGACATGAAATCTCCAGTTCCGTCCATCTGATCACCATTATAGAAAAGAACTCCGTCAGGTTTCTCTGGTTTGAAGACTAGAAGAAGCTCGATAAACGAGTGAGCCAAACTGCCGAGGCCCGAATACTGAAGATAAGAGGATCCGTTGAAGAAAGGAACTATAAGTTCCACAGCTACAGAAGAAAACAAAAAAAAACCCGAATGTAACGTGATAAGTAACCAAATCTTCCAGGAGAACTTCTTAAGACACAGCAAGTTTCTGACGGTTATAATCTGTCGTGCAGTGCTGCTCTAACGCTATTGTATGAAGAACTAGGCCTAACTATAAACATGCTCGTGTTGAGATATGCTGGAAAATATCAAATAAAGAATGCTTGTTTATTTGGTTTAAACGCGAAGCCACACAAGGGACCATCTGTTATTTCGATAATAAAGATAAAACTCTAAATTTTAGCGTTATAAGTCCTCACTCTTAACGCTGAGTCACTGGGGGGAAGAGGGATAAGGCGAATAAGGGGAAAAAATTATAATCATACATTGTAATTTTTTATGTTTTAATACAATTATTTGATTTTCTTGATATTTTATTAAATAATTCTATTAAAACATGACAAATAAAATCAAACACCACTGATTTTCATGATATTTTATTATTGGTGTTTGATTTTATTTGTCATGTTTTGATATAATTATTTGATTTTCGTGATATTTTACTAGTGGTGTTTGATTTTATTTGTCATGTTTTGATATAATTATTTGATTTTCGTGATATTTTACTAGTGGTGTTTGATTTTATTTGTCATGTTTTGATAGAATTATTTAATTTTCGTGATATTTTATTAGTGGTGTTTCATTTTATTTGTCATGTTTTAATTTTTATGTTTCATATTTTGCCCTCTTTTCTTACGTTTGTGTACAAATGACCAAAAAGTATACACAATCAAAACTTTCAGGATCTACAATCTGTATTTATCTAACATTTCATAAAAAAATACTTGAATTTAACATTATTCTGCCATTTAAGCTGTCATTAGTAATTGTAATCAACTTTCCAATATACTAGCTTTCCACCCTAATTTGAAGAAAAAAAAAATCAAAAGAAACAATAAAATAAATTTGGGTTTGTGCAAGGCTTCTAAAGGACTATCTAACATAGCAGTCGTAATAATGAAAGAGGAATAATTAAATTCACAGATAGGGCAAGATACCTTATAGATACGCCCGAGAGATAGAGCACGTTACCTTATAGACCACGCCCGACAGATAGGGGAAGTTACCGTTTAGACTACGCCCTACAGATAGGGCACGTTAACTTACAGACCATGCCTAACAGATAGGGCAAGTTACCGTTTGACCACGCCCTACAGATAGGGCACGTTAACTAATAGGTCATACCTGACAGATAGGGTACGTTACTGATAGGTCATGCCTGACAGATAGGGCACGTTAACTTACAGACCATGCCTAACAGATAGGGCAAGTTACCGTTTAGACCACGCCCTACAGATAGGGCACGTTAACTAATAGGTCATGCCTGACAGATAGGGTACGTTACTGATAGGTCATGCCTGACAGATAGGGCACGTTAACTAATAGGTCATGCCTGACAGATAGGGCACGTTAACTAATAGGTCATGCCTGACAGATAAGGCACGTTAACTAATAGGTCATGCCTGACAGATAGGGCACGTTAACTAATCGTAGGGTTTTTCGATTACTAACATATTTCACGAAAAATGGTTTAGAACAAACTCAAACACTGTTTATTAGGTTTCATCTCATGAAACATGAAAACTCAAACACGGATTATTAGGTTTCATCTCACGAAACACGGAAACTCAAACAGGATTTATTAGGTTTCTTCTCACGAAACACGGCAACTCAAACACGGCTTATTAGGTTTAATCTCATGAAACACGGCTTATTTGGTTTCATCTCACGAAACAGGCCAACTCAAACACGGTTTATTAGGTTTAATCTCATGAAACACGGAAACTCAAACACGGCTTATTTGGTTTCATCTCACGAAACAGGCCAACTCAAACACGGTTTATTAGGATTAGGTTTAATCTCACGAAACACGGCAACTCAAACACGGCTTATTAGGTTTCATCTCACGAGACACGGCAACTCAAACAGGATTTATTAGGTTTCATCTCACGAAACAAGCCAACTCAAACACGGCTTATTAGGTTTCACCTCATGGAACACGGCAACTAAAACACGGCTTATTAGGTTTCATCTCACGAGACACGGCAACTCAAACAGGATTTATTAGGTTTCATCTCACGAGACACGGCAACTCAAACAGGATTTATTAGGTTTCATCTCACGAAACACGGAAACTCAAACACGGCTTATTTGGTTTCATCTCACGAAACAGGCCAACTCAAACACAGTTTATTAGGATTAGGTTTAATCTCACGAAACACGGCAACTCAAACACGGCTTATTAGGTTTCATCTCACGAGACACGGCAACTCAAACAGGATTTATTAGGTTTCATCTCACGAAACAAGCCGACTCAAACACGGCTTATTAGGTTTCACCTTATGGAACACGGCAACTAAAACACAGCTGATACTATTGTTACGACAGAGGAAGTCATGTGACCCTAGTAACACGTCATGAGCTTCTAGAAAATTCATGTCCGTTCTTGAAGCCTCGAGTGTTCTCCAGATGTACGTTTTTGTATATATAAAAAGTGACGGCAAAAATGGAATTGAATTGCAGACAGAGATAGAGACGGACAATTGAGTCAAGCGCGTGAATCGTTCGTTGTGAATTATAGCGTTTGTTAAGTTATAGCGTGACTGTGGAAATTAAGTGTATTGCAAAGTTGTATTGAGAAAGAATAAACTAGTTTTATTTAAGAAAGGACTTGTGTCGCTAAAGTTTCTTCGAAAATAATTTTTACGGAAAATTAACAAACGAACGACCAGAGGCGTAACAGTATTATAATCTAACAGTTATTATAATTTGTTAGTTGAAGTCCAAAACACTGTAAAAAAATCTTTTAACTTATATAACGGTTTTCTGTGATCTTGTACTACTTACCATATTCACAAAGATCTCCAGTGTAACCAAGGGGACACACACAGATCGGATTATTAGGCCTTGCTGCCACACATTGGCCTCCATTAAGGCACGTGACCTTGCCACACGTGTCGGCGCTACATTCCCCTAATGTGAATAAAACACGGGTTTAGTAGATCTAGGAGCGTAATAAACAAATAAGTTACAATATTATAAATACTGGAATACTAACACATGTTAGGTGGATCTGGGAGTGTTTTAATCACATAAACAACAATATTATAAACACTGGAATACTAACACGTGTTAGGTGGATCTAGGAGCGTAATAAACAAATAAGTTCCAATATTATAAATACTGGAATACTAACACGTGTTAGGAGGAGCTATGTGTGTTTTAATCACATAAACTACAATATTATAAATACTGGAATACTAACACATGTTAGGTGGATCTATGAGTGTTTTAATCACATAAACTACAATATTATAAATACTGGAATACTAACACGTGTTAGGTGGATCTAGGAGCGTAATAAACAAATAAGTTCCAATATTATAAATACTGGAATACCAACACGTGTTAGATGGATCTAGGAGTGTTTTAATCATATAAACTACAATATTATAAATACTGGAATACTAACACGTGTTAGGTGGATCTAGGAGTGTTTTAATCACATAAACTACAATATTATAAATACTGGAATACTAACACGTGTTAGGTGGAGCTATGTGTGTTTTAATCACATAAACTACAATATTATAAATACTGGAATACTAACACGTGTTAGGTGGATCTAGAAGTGTTTTAATAACAATATTATACAATATTATAAATACTGGAATACCAACACGTGTTAGATGGATCTAGGAGTGTTGTGAACATCCGAAAATCTAATATTTAACGCACACGTAAATTTTTAACACATAATGGAATAATAACTGATTTTATGACACTATCAATAAATTTATGGTGCTTGCTTTATGAGTCTACGTTTTTACCAGTACAGCGTATCAATGACTCGTCTTTGCTGTATAAAGCTTGACAAACAAAAGGAAACTCGCGTGTTTTATATGAATGTACACTGGAAGTTGGAATATTAAATTTTACTGTTTCTTTTGTCATACAAAGCTGAATGCTATTTTAAGTAATATCAGCATTTCGTGCAGAGCTACACAAAAGTTATATGCGCTTAGTTGTCTCTGACTTTGAAGTAACAGAGTAGAGGATGGGAACTAGTCATAAGAACTAATCGACAATTCTATACTAAAGAGGACATATTAATACTTGAAATAAAACCAAAACCAAAACTGACAGTACAAAGCTTCAAATGTGTTTTAGTGAACGCTTCTGAATAAGCTGTAAAGCGAAACATTGATTGTCTAATTAAATAAAGACAACATTTTGGTGTTATAAGGTCGTTTATTTCTACTACTAATCGCCAATTCTTGTCTACTATTTTCTGATTGAACAGGCCCGGCATGGCCAGGTGGTTAGAGCGCTAAACTCGCAATCTGCGGGTCGCGGGTTCGAATTCCCGTCCCACCAAACATACTCGCCCTTTCAGCCGTGGAGGCGTTATAATGTGACGGTCAATCTTACTATTCGTTGGTAAGAGAGTA